AGTAAACAAACAAACAAACATGATCAGAATATACAAGAACTCTGAAACATTAAGACACCAAATTTAAGAATCATTGGAATTAAAGAGGATTCTAAGATTCAGGTTAATGGCAATGGATAATCTCTTCATGAAAATAATAACAGAAAATTTTCCAAACCTTCAGAATGAGAAAGACATCCAGATACAGGAGGCATTCAGAACCCCAAATAGATGAGATGAAAAAAGAACCTCTCTCTGACACATTATAATTAAAATTCCTAACATACAGAACTAGGATACAACTTAAAAGTCTCAAGAGATAAACATCAGGTCACATTTAGAGGCAAAGTAATTGGAATTAAGTCTGATTTCTCAACACAAACTGTTAACATCCACAAGGACTTGGAATGGTGTTTTCCAAGACCTGAAAAAAAAATAACTATCAGCCAAGATTGCTACATCCAACAAAGCTATCCTTTGGAATTGATAAGGAAATAAAAACCTTTCTAAATAAGTAGAAACTAAAAGAATTCAAGACTTTTAAGCTGGCATTACAGAAAATACTTAAAGAACTATTTCACACAGAACAATATCAAAAACAAACCCCAGAACTCACAAATGGACAAATTTCACTTGAAGAATAGCTAATCAAATGAGAAATAGGACAAAATTAAACATCAGAAATAAATTAAAATGGCAGGAATTAATAAACCTCTCTCTATAATAACACTGAATGTAAATGGTCTCAACTCTCCGATTGTAAAACATACGCTGGCAGAGTAGATAAAAAACAAGACTCGACAATATGTTGTTAGCAAGAGATTCACCTTACAGGCAGAGACAGCCTCCTGAAAGTGAAATGATGGAGACTGGGATCCCATGCAAATGGAGCTCCCAAACAAGCAGGAGTAATGACTCATATCTGACAAAAGCACACTCCAAGCCAAAAATAATCAGAAGAGACAAAGAAGGTCACTTCATATGATGAAAAGAACAATCCAACAAGAAATTATAATGACAGTAAATATTTATGCCCCAAATATTGGTGCAACCAATCATTTAAGAGACACTACTCAAATTAAAGACTCAGTCTCTAGTACAATAATACTGTGAGATTTCAACACAACTTTCTCACCAATATGTACAGTTCATTCATACATAAACTCAGTAAAGGCTCTTCAGAAGCAAAAAAATAAAAATAAATGGATTTAATGAACATCTATAGACTATTTCATCTAACAACAGCTGAATACACTTTCTTCTCAGCTGCTCATGGAACTTCTCCCAAAAGACCATATTTTAAATCATAAAGCAACTCTAAGCAAATATGAGAAAATTGATGCAATTCCTTTCATCTTATCTGACCAAAATGGAATGATATTAGAAATCAACACCAAAATACCCTAAAGAAACTATGTGAACACATGGAGACTGAACTGTACTCTTTTGAATGATGAATGGGTGATAGAAGAAATCAGGAGAATTCTTAAAATCAAGTGAGAATAGTGATACAAACTACCAAAACCTTTGGAGTACTATAAAGGCAGTTCTAAAAGAAAAGTTTATAGCTATGAGTGCCTACATAAATAAATCAGAAAGATCCCAAATAACCAATGATTCATATGAAGGCCCTTGAAAAACAAAAACAAACTAATTCAAAAACAATAGAAGGAAGAAAATAACAAGACCAACGCCAAATCAACAGAGAATTTAAAAAAAATAGGACAAAAGATCAATGAAACAAAGAGTTATTTCTTTGAAAAGATAAAAAAGATTGATAAGCCCTTCGTCAAACTAACCAAAAGAAAAGAGCCAAATTAATAAAATAAGAGGTAAAAAAGGAGAAATCACCAGAGCCATCACAGAAATCCATAGGATCATTAGAGACAATTTTGAAAATTTATACTCCAATAAATTGCAAAACTTAAAAGAAATGAATACATTTCTAGATACCTATGACCTGTCTAAATTGAATCAAGAGGTCTGAGGAAACCCAAACAGACTCACAATGAGAAGGAAGCAGTGATAAAAGATGGATTTTCAGCTAATTCTCCCAGACCTTTAAAGAAGAACTAATGCCAATACTCCTCAAATTATTCTATGAACTAGAAAGGGATGGAATACCTACAAATTTATTTTATTAAACCAGTATCACCCATTCCAAAACCAGGTAAGAACACATCAAAGAAAGAAAACTAGACTGCTATCCCTGATGAAGTTAGATGCAAAAATCCCTAATAAAATATTAGCAAGTCATATTCAACAGCATATAAAGAAGACTGTACCTCATGACCAAGTTGGTTTTATCCCAGAGATGCAAGGATGTTTTGACATATGCAAGTTTAAAAAATGTCAATTCATCACTTAAATAGAAGCAAGCACAAAAATCACAGTAATCTAAATGGATGCAAAGAAAGCCTTCAAACAAAATTCAGTACCCACTGAAAATAGTAAAGTAAGGATAGAAGAACCTCAGCTACATAAAGGCTATATAAAACAAACCCAACACCAACATTGTGGTGAGTGGGGGAAAAAATGAAAGCATTTCCTTTAAAATTCAGAACACAACAAGAATGCCCACTTTTACTACTTCTATTCAATATGGTACTAGAAATTCTAGCCAGAGAAACTAAGCAAGAAAAGGAAATAAAATGAATAAAAATAGGAAAGAAGATAAATTAATTCACATTAATTTATCAATGTGAATGAATGCTCCTATAGTTAAAAGATCTAAGAAGCTCCACCAGAAGATTGCTATGGTTAATAAACAAATTCAGCAAAGTAACAAGTTACACAATCAACATACAAAAATCAATAGCTTTTATATGAATCTGCTTAGAAAGAAATCAGGAAAGCAAGTCCATTCACAAAGGCCTCAAAAAACAAAGCTCACAATAAATCTAATCAAGGAGTGAATGACCTCTACAATGAAAATTACTGGGATACTGAAAAAAGAAAGAAATTGAAGAAGACACAAGAAGATGTAAAGACACCCCCCATGTTGATGGATAGGCAAATTTTAATATTATAAAATGGCCATACTACCAAAAGCAACATAGAGATTCAAGGTAATCCCCATCAAAATACCAATGACATTCTTCACAGAACTAGGAAAATAACAGTCCTAAAATTCATTTTGGGATATGAATAAAAGACCCATAATAACCAGAGCAATTTTAAGCCAATAAAATAATGCTGAAGGCATAACAATACCTGACTTCAAATTACACTGTACAGCTATATTAATAAAAACTGTATAGCACTGGCATAAAAACAGGCTACCAATGGTACAGAGTAGAAGACACAGAGACAAACCCACACTGAGACAATGACCCAACCCTTGTTAAAGGTGCCATAATCATACACTGGAGAAAAGACAGCTTTCTTAAGAAATGGTGCTGGGGAAATTGGTTATCCATATATAGAAAAATAACACTAGATCTTTATCTGATACCCTGCACAAAAGTCAACTCAAAATTGATCAAAATTCAACACTGTAAACAATTAAGAAAATGTAAATCAAAACTACACAGATTTCATCTCACTCCAGTGAGATGACAGCCATCAAGAATATAAACAATAATAAATGCTTGTAAGGATGCGAAGAAAAAGAAACACTTTTACACAATTGGCAGGATTGTAAATAAGTACAAACACTATTGAAATCAGCATGGAGGTTCCTCAAAAAAGTAGGAATGGAACCACCATATGACCCAGCTAGCTATACCACTCCTCAGTATTTATCCTGAAGAATTACAGTCATCACACTTTAGCATTATATGCATACCCATGTTCATAGCAGCACAATTTGCCATAGCCCAACTATGAAACCAGCCTAGATATCTGTCAATGGATGAATGCTTAAAGAAAATGTGGTATATATAAAAATAGAGTTTTATTAAGCCATAAAGAAAAATGAAATTATGTTATTTGCAGGAAAATAGATGGAACTTGAGAATATCATGTTAAGCAAACAAGCCACAGTATCAGAAAATCAAAGGTTGTATGTTTTCTCTCATATGTGTAAGCTAGAGAGGAAAATGGAAAATAAAGGTCAAGGGTGGGGAAATCTCATGAAAACTGAAAGGTATCAGAAAAGCAGAAGAAATGAATCAGGAAGAGGGAGTAAGACAGGTAAAGAGGATATTGGCTAAATTACATGCTTACATTGTGTGCATGTACAAATACGTAACAATGAATTTCACCATTGTGTACCAATAAAAAAAATATGGAAAAAATAAAAATGATATTTTGACTTCAAAAAAGGAGACATGACCCAAAAAGGGGATCAACTTACCTTAATCACAAATGGAACAGCTTTGGCAGGAATTAATTCCATTCTTTAAAATCTGGGGCACTTGCCCAAGTAGTAAAGACGTTTTGTTATAATTTGGATTCTAAGTGTCTCCCAAAGGTCAATAAAGGGTTGGTCCCCAGGGTGGTGCTACAGGTAGGTGGTGGATTCTTTAGCATGTAGGGCCCAGTAGGAGGTCTTTGGGTCATTTCAGGCATGCACTTGAAGAGTATTGTAGAGCCCCGGTCTCTTCCTCCCATTTGCTTCCTGGCCATGAGGTGAGCAGTTTTGCTCCACCACACACTCCCTGCCATTACCATCTGATATCCCCACCAAAGGCCCAAAAGCAATGAGCCTTCCTAATTATGGACTAGAACTTAAAAAGCCATAATAAAAAATAAGCCTTTGATATAATAAATTGATTATCTCAGGTATTTGCTATAGTATCAGGAAGGCGACTAACACAAGATCTCATTTGGGTAACTAAGAATGCCTAAAACAAAAGTGGTAATTTGCTTATCCTAAACCCTTCTTCATTGGGTTTAGGATAAGCAAATTACCATTACCACCCAACTCTAGCATCTTATGAGGAATACTTTTCTACAATTCTAGTCTTATTCCTTCCCAGCATTTTTCACACAAAAATACATAATCAATATTTCAAACATTATTAAATTACATATTTGTTGTAAATTGTACTGACTTAGTCACAGAAATATATACTAACCTGTATGCCAGTATGTGTGCAGGCTAATTTTGTAAACTCAATGCATCTGCCATCATTCACATCCCAGAGGCACATCTCTCTATAAAACAAAACAAATAGCTAACTTTAAATTTGATTTGCTAAAAGCACTGTTTCAATTTGTTATAGTGGTTTAAAATTAATTAGTGTTATTAGAAGTAATAACACTAATCTATTACAGATTATAGCTAATACTCATTATTGCTGTTGGCCAAAATTTCCAGTGCTCCCATTCACCATCGCAATCCCCCTTCCAACCTGTCCACCCCACCTCAGTCCACATCCTCTCTACAGTAGGAATGCACTTCCTGGTTCCCTATTAGTTGGCAGAGTCTTGGGAGCATTTCTGGCCAGAACTACTGCAAGGCCCTTCAGAACTGTTTTTCCTCTGCCTCTGCTGTAGATAATGGCTACGACATCAACCTAAAGTAAGGACAATGATGAAGCCAGGCACAGCCTTCACATGACAAGTAAGTGACAAAAACAAGACATGGACTTTTAATTTAAACTACTGAGCACTGCCATTTGTTAAATGCAGCTTGAAATGCAGCACTACAGAAAACAAGGCAAAGTTGAAGGCAACTGAATTCCAACCTTTGCAAATTAAATATAATATTCCAGTTTTGATACTGAATTAATTGCAAATTTATTAAGTGCACACACACTACACATACACACACAAAAAAAAAATTTATATCACAAAATAAAGATGTAATGTTGAAAATTAGAAATGGCAATATGCTTTTTATTTTGAAGAAATAAGAGTTAAAGAAGAAAGTATTAATAAAATGCAATGATCCTGATATTACCAGGATATCCTTACAGTATAATTTTCTTACATCTCACCTGACATAATTTTTCAAAGAACACTCAATTTATAACAAGCATTCTACTGTAAATTATCCTTTCATTGACCAAAGGTTCTACATTGTTGTCTGACATCTTCTCTTCTTGTTCCAAAAAATTACACAAGGTTCTCTTCTAATCCATAAACTATGGGGAAAGAGGGAGAATAATGTCTAATTTTCTTCAAATTCCCTAACTTGCTTCAATAGTACATGGGATCAATATACAATTTTCAAAGTACCAAAAATATTTCTTAAATTCCTCAAACTCTGAGCCCTAATGCTATTATTATTTAATGACCTACTTCTCCAAAAGCAAGTTATGTTCTAAGACTTAGGAACACACAGTTAATGTATTTATAACTTCATAAACATTATAAACTTCATAAACTTTATCATAGCTATATATAACTTCATAAACTTTATCATAGCTTCATCTCCCAAATATATTCCAGTCTAGCATCATTGAGGATTTTTTAAAAATTCTTGAAGTTGTCTATTGACTCAATAACAATGCCATGGAGATCATACTTTAACTTTTATAGTATTCTGAGTTTCTCAAAATCAAGGCAAAGAAAGAATCATAAATTACAATGGAAGTATTCCAAAATAATTAATAGTATAAAATTCACATCCTTAAAACCATCATTCAAATATCTTCCTTTATGTTTAGACAATGGAAGAAGATAACTCCAAAAGAAACAAACAACAAACAAATAAGCAAACAAAATAATTCCCTATTTACTAACACACAATACTAGTTCTAAAGACATAAGTAAAAAATATAAATATCACATAGCAACCCATAAATTGTACAATTCTTTTGTGCAAATTAAAAAAACAAGTTTTTAAAAATATGTAAAATTTTAGAAAAAAGAGAAAGCTGACCAAAACCAAAAAACAGAATACTTACCCACTTGCAGATGCACTCACAATATACTGTTTGTCACTAAAAGCACAAGCTTTAGACAAACAAGTAATTGCTGCTGTGTGACCAAATAACAATGCTCGAGGATTAACCTAGAAATGCAAAAATTTGCTGGTGTAAATATCACATTTAAAAAAACCAACCTTTTGATTAGTAATCATGTTAAATATTTGATATACACATACAGATACAGATTTGAAAAAATTTGCTCAAAACACTAAAAACTAGGAGTAAACAGTGAACTCTAATCCATATAATGCTCACAATCATCCTTTCACAGTAGTTCTGAAGTCAAAGTTGGAATGACAAGAGGCTATACTACTACATGATCAGATGAAGAAAGACAGCGAAGATTCAAACTAAGGCAGAATGCTGGGAAAGGAGGTTAAGAATCTAAATTAATATATAAAACAGGATAATCTGGCCTCACTTATTTTTAAATATCACTGATCTGAAAAAGCTTTAAGAGTCTCTGGATTCATAACCCCCAACACAGAAGGCAGGTACCCTTCTAAAAGCTACTAGTAGTATTAACTGTCAGGAAGAAGAACCTTGATGAAGCACTGGTGTAGAGACAGTGTCTAGTGGAAAGGCTGGCTTAATATTACTATTCTAAAACAGTCAGGCAATCAGCTCCCAAATTTATAATAAAAGTATTATAAAATCACTAATAGTATAAAATTCACATCTTAAAACCATAATTCAAATATCTTCCGATAAGTTTAGACAATGGAAGAAAATATTCCAAAAGAAAAAACATCCTGATTACTACGTATTCTGCTATTAGTTATAAATACATTAGAAAAAAAAAGAAAATATAACATCACATGATAACCCATAAATATGTACAATTTTTATGTGTCATATAAAATTGACATAAATTTGTACCAAATGTCATAAGTTGTTCGGGTTACTTCAGAATGTATTTTTATTAAATATTTATTACATGCAAATAATATTTACAACATACATTGGATACAAAGAATAAACTGAATAGCAACATCCAACACACAGTTTAAGAAACAGAATATGACCAATATCTTTAAATTCCCTCCATTTAAATATCCTCCATGGTATCCATTTTGTAATTGTCTATCAATGGGGGCAATAAAAAGGATTTAAAAAGGCATACATGCTATAAAGGAAAAAGTAAAATTACCTTTATTCATAGACAACATAATCAGATATAAAGAAAATCCTTCTAAAAATATAGCATGGTCATAATACATAGGGTAAAAATACCAAAAAGCAACCATATTGCTAAAAATTGAAAATAGATCATTGTACACTAAAACAAAAGCATATGGCTCTACTATCATCAGATAAAAACAAAAAGTTATATAAATGTAACTATAATCTGACCATACTTTCGTAAGTACAGTGTTAGCCAAAAAATAGAAAACATCGATATAATATTTTCATAAATCAATGTGTCTTTAAAGAACAAAAATTCATTTATTAAACAAAAGTTTTCTGGGGCATTAAAAAGAAAAGATTTTAAGAAACTATTCTGAACGACCACTAAATAGCAAAGAAAGGAAGAATAATCATGATAAGGAGATAACCACCCTAAAATACATCTGTGCCTAATATCAGTGCTAGATGGCAACTACTTTGGTCAAACATCCAGACACTTCCAGGAGCTGAGTGCAGTAGCCTGCACCTTGAGTCCAGATATTGGGTAGGCTGGGACAAGAGGATCACTTGAGCCCAGGAGTTCAGGACCAATGGGCCATATAGTGAAACCTTGTCTCCAGTAAACAAAACAATATAAAATAAAAAACAAAAATTCCAGAGGAAATAAGCATTATTAGAGAAAAAAATATGTTAGATTATTACATTTGTACCTTTTATTTATATCCTAGCATGTTCTACAAAAATTTGTTACATCATAGTTAGTAATGAAATATTTCACACTTAATCAGACCAAAGAAATATCATAAAATAATGTTTGACCAATCCATAAAGATTATTCATTCATCCTCAATGATCACACAGTTCAGAAGCAAAAGTTATCAAGTTATCACTGGCAAGGCAAGAATAAAAAGATGGGATATGCCATGCCAGATCTTAAACATAAATTATAACACTGATATTCCAGCCAGAGGTTTTGAGGCCACTCAGCCATCATTCTGCACTTCTCTTTTTTTAAATTCCCTTTAGCTTTTTTTCCCTACTACCTGACATGCTATGATTATCATTCATTAATCATTAATCAATCCTTCGTATTGATTAATGACAACAGCTTAATTCACATTCCCTCACCCAAACCTTACCCCAACCTTGTGTTAAATAGGCAAGACCCTTTATAAAGTATACTTTTACCACACCTGGTGTATTGCTTGATATCCTCTCTCATGAGTCAAGAGCAGAAAATACAACGCAACCTCCCAAAACAATTAGTCCAAGCTTTCTAAGTGCAAGAAATGTGGTTTGTAATATTATCTTTGTATCCAAGTGCCTAGAATTTTAAATGCCAATTATTGTTAAACTAATAAGTTTGGATTTAACTGATTACTTTCTGAATATTACTTGTCAATATTAATCCTCACATGTTCTGTATACTCGCCAATGTGATCCAGTCATGTTTCCCCAAATTCCTCCTTCCTGGCCTCTCCAAACACAAGAACAATCAACGGTCAGCAAAATTCCCTATAGTGTCAATGGCACTTCTGAATATAGCTTTCAAACTCCTTGTTCTAATCAAAACCTGGAATTCCCCCGAGGACAGCTTCCACTGAAACCCTCTCAACTGGTGGTGATTTTTTCCTCTATCACGTGTACTACAATGCCTGAAAGAAGATTGTCTTCTTTGCCCCTCATTCTAAGCTCCAGAACTTCTGGTTTTTCCTCCTCCAACCCTTAGCACTTTTGTATGAATGCAGGTAGGTTGGTTGCTCTTTATGTAGAAACGCAAAAGATTTCTTATACTAATCAGCACCTACCTTATTATATTCATTACAAATAACAGTTACTCACCCTCATCTCTTGAAGCCTCTAACACTTGGCTCACCATTTCACTCTCCATTGCTTCTGGTATCTTACTTCTAGGTGTTTTACTATCAGAAAAGGTTTGTAGTAGTACTCAGGCCTCACTTCTAACCTCCTTACCTCCAATGATCTTGGTAATACCCACTGCACTGCCTTCAAGTTCCCTGATCATTAATAAATGAACTACTCTAGAATTTTATTTGGCACCTCTCCTTCTAATCACTACCTCCTGCCATTTTAATTCCCTCCATTTCAAGTCCCAACAATTCTTCAGTCCCCCTAAAACCTCAATTCCATCTCATTCTACCACAACTGCACTATCCATTATCCTTCAACCCCACTACCCAACTTAAAAGTCCACGGTACATCATAATTACTACCCTGAATAAAACAATCAAGCCTTAAGTGCAATCTCTCCCCTGTTAAGCTTGCTAGGAAAACTTTATCCTAGTTAAACCTGGCTCTCTCTTTGGCTGGGACTTATACCCAAGAAACTGAAGGTGGGTGGAAACACTACACCACCATCTGTTTTCATATGCAATTGATGACATCTAATTTTTCAGAATCCTTGAGTGCTATCCAGCAGTCCTGCCTAATTTCTCTAGTCTACTCATACTCCCAAACCTCCCAGGTAAGCAACTTATCTCTCCTTAAACCTCCAGCGGGAACTCCCCTGTCCTCACTGTCAACTGAGGACCTTGTTTATTTTTCTGAAAAAAAAAAAAAAAATTGTAGAAGCATGAAGAAATTTCCGCATTTCTACATAAAGAGCAACCAACCTACCTGCATTCATACACTTAAGGTTCCCTATCACGGTGAATGGTTTCTTGCTCTTATCAACCTGAGTGCTGCGCACTTCATTTCAACTGTCACCTCTCTCTTAAAAATCATCAATCATCAATATCAAATTCAATCGCATTTCTATACCTTATCAATGAACAACAAAAAATAAAATGATTCTATTTGTAACAGATTAGAAACTAAATTCTGAGAAATAAATGTCATTAAAAAGTATAAAATTTATACTCTGAAAACTACAAAATAATGTCGGAAAAAATTAATATCTAAATAAATGGAAAGGTACCCTATGTTCACACATCATAAAACTTAATATGGCAATATTCCCCACACTGATACATAAATTCAATATATTCCCTATCAAAAACCCAAATGATTTCTTTATAGATATTGACAAGTTGATCCTAAAATCTGTATGAAAATTCAAGTGACCCTTATATAGAAAAACAATCGTAAAAAATAAGAGCAATATTGAAGAATTCATATGTTTCAATTTCAAAATTTAATATAAAGCAATAATAATCAAGACAGTATTACATGGTATAGGAACAGACATAGAAAACAATGGAATAGAATTGAGACTCAGATAAAGATCCATGCATCTATACTCAACTTATTTTTCACAAGAGTACCAACACCATTCAATGAGAGAATAATCTCCTTAACAAAAACAAAATAAAAGGAAACTAGATAATTTAGACTTCATCAATATTAAAATATTTTGTGCTTTAAAAAACATCAAGCGGCTGGAGTCGTGGTTCAGTGGTACAGCGCTTGCCTGACATATTTGAGGCCCTGAGTTTGATCCTTAGCACCCTATAAATAAATAAAAGATCCACTCACAACTAAAAAATATTTTAAAAAAAGAAAAGAAAGAAATAACATCAAGAAAGTGAAAAATAATGCACAAAATGGGAGAAGATATTTGCAAGTTAAATATCTGTTAATGGATCTGTACCAAGAACATATAGAGAATTCCTACAGTTCAGGGCTGGGGACATATATCAGTGGTAGAGTGCTTGCCTACCATGCATGAAGTCCTGTGTTCAATCCCTAGCAACATTGAAAACAGAAGAAAAATAAAAAGAAATCCTATAAACCAATAATCAAAAAATAACCAATATTAAAACATAAGCAAAGAAAAAGCCTTAATTTTTTTTCTAAATGGGCAAAGGAATAACAATAAATACATAGTGATTTTAGAAATCCCTATGTGATTTTTATAAAAAAGTTATGCCATCTTCAAAACATTTACTGTAGAAGGTATGTTTCGAACTGTTTTTTGTCTGTTGTTTTCTACAGTGCTGAGGACTGAACCCGGAACCTTACATATGCAAGGCAAGTGCTCTATCACTAAGCCACATCCCCTTATACTGTTTGTCAATACATCCAGAAATCTCTTTGTGTATTATAATCTTTTAAAATATCCTAAATATAATAAATATTAAGTGACTTACAGTAGACATTATATTCAAAAATTGCTAAAAACCAGCAGACATCAATTATAATAATGTAAACAGATAATCTGCATACAAGTAATTTAACCATAACATATTTTGCAGAAAAGTATTACGAATTCAAGTATAATTCCAGTACTGTGTAATTTTCTAATAAGTAGCTTCTTGAATTTAGGATGTACAACAGACAATTCAATACTCACTTCTAATTCTACTGAAAGATCCCAGAGACATATTTGTCCATCATGGCATCCAGTTACAATTGTGGCCCCATCATCTGTTAAAAGCACAGCGGAGACACAATGTGTTGGTGCTTTGCGTCCCCAAAGCACAATGGGTAGAACAAGGCTGTTTCCTGCCATTGTGTTTTCAAACCTGAAAATGTTATAAGAATAACATGATATTACAATATTAGCCTCTAAAACATGTTATATATCTTTATTACAAAGCCAAGTTGTACAATTTGAAAATAAGCATATATTCCTGGTAGTATATTCTGACCACTTAAAAATGTGTTATTTCCAAACAAATATGACTAATTTATCACATCCTAGATTCTTTAATTAAAAAATTAGACACAAATCTTCACTGTAGGCATTCACGATTTTTAAAATTTGCTAGTGAAAAGTCAATGATTCAATACTCATATTTAGTACTATATAGATGATGCACTTTTGTGTGTATATATATATATATTTCATTTTAAATCTCAAAATAGTCTTTCCAGGCTGGCAGGGTAGAAAATGAGGCATAAACATATTCACCCTAAAACCCAGAAGCAGCAAGTCAAGGAGCCCAAGGGCAAATCCTACCCTCTAACCCCAAATCATCTGCCTCCTCAAATAATTCAAATCAAATACAAAAACAGTGCTCAGCAAGTCCACATAGATTAATTATATCCCCACGGCCAGACCAGAATTATCAAGAATTTTAGAAATGCCAGGAATTCTTCCAAGCATTGTATATATATAAATAAAAATGATTTCAATTATTCCTTCAAAAAATCATAAGATAAGTACTATGATCACTTCTTCTTCCACAGAGTCACTGAGGCAAAGTGTCATGAAGTGACAAGAGATGGAGTCCATGTCTCCAAAAAGTAGTAAATAGCAATGCCCAAGAACTCAGGACATTTTATAGTGTGCTAAACATTCAACAGAGTATACTCAGTGAGAAACTCATTTGGACACATTTATTCCAAACCTGTTATGTCCAAAGGTCACAGGCATCCTTCCATGTTAAGTCCTAAATCTTAGGGGAAAGAATTTCTTTTCAGACTCTTATCTCCATAATATGAGAGGATTTAGATTTGAGATAATTAACCAGCATATACTAGAATATATCTCTTAAAGAAGAGTACAAACAGAAAGAATTATTCCTTCATTAACAAAATTAAAATTGAATTGGTAAAACAACATTTAATTGTTATAAATTATGTGATTAAGGAAAAAATAATAGACAAGTTCAGAGAAGTTAGAAAGACTAGAATAGACAAAGAGGGCTCCACAGAAAAGTGGACTCTGACAGATCTTATTAGGAGTCACCTACAGTCTGACAGATGGTCAATCCAAAGAAAAGATCATAAAAAAGAAAATGAATCAAGTAAAAAAATATGAAGAACACTGGAATGCTTACCCAAAACAACCCATATTATATCCTTTTTTGCTATTGTTAAAAGCATAGCTTTCATCAATTTGGTTCCCACCTATCCCCCCAAAAAAACAACTGATCATTTTTGCTCAAGTACAAGGTACACATTTAAAGAAAACATTCAAAATACACCTGGCACAGTGGCACATGCCTGTTACCCCAGTGCCTCAGGAGGCTAAGCAGAAGGATCCCAAGTTTGAAACCAGCAACTTAGTGAGACTCTATATCAAAATTTTAAAAAATTAAAAGGGTTGGGGATGTAGCTCACAGGTACAGCAACCCTATGTTCAATCCCCAATACTGCCAAATAATAATAATAATTATTATTATTATTATTATTATTATTATTATTCAAAATAACCACTTCCTATTAAGAAAACCCTACTTGCCCTATTTGTGTCATGACAGTTTCATAAACTACCATCACACTAATAAGCATTTCCATATTCCTATTTGATATTAGAAAACAGAACTAAGCTATGAGCCAATTTTAATAAATTTGGAACAGCATGTTTTTTGGCTGTGAAGCATATCCAACAATGACTTTCTGGAAAAGAGAATCTGGAAGGAGCTCATTTTTCCATGGTGACAACCCTCAGCTTTCAATTACATCACCAAAGAAGGATTCTCTCCTGTAAATAAACAAGCCCAAGGCATTGAACACCTCCTGGGGAGCTCTGCAAGAACACCATTTCTCCAGGCTCCTGAGGACTGGAAGGGAGGGCATTCTGCCTGGATGAAAGAGAAATCAAGGGATCCAGGACCAAGCTGCATATGGCACTAAATGTCTACAATATTTTTTTCTTAAACTTTAAAAACCTTATAACAAAATAAAATTGAAACTAGAAAATCCACAGAAGCAACAATGAAATAATGTGAAATAAAGGATAACAGAGTTTATGACGACAGCACAAATGCTTCTAAGGATTAAACAAGACTACCAGTGAAGCAGCAGCCCCTTAAATCTAGGTCTAAGCAACTAATGTAACCCCAAAATGGGCAAATTAGACAGGATCTAATCATTGATTAGAGCATAGATATTTAAATTTGAATTTCTCTCAATAACCAATAAGCCAAGACATTCTAAATTGGCACCATAAGAGAGTTTTTCCTAAAGGGAAAAAAAGGTCAGTGAAAATGTGGAGCATGTAGTTTTTCAGATGTCAACATTCAACTATTCTATTTATTTGTTAATAATCCATTCTCAATGTTTCCAACATTATCATCTATTGTTTGAGGAAAACTGGATATATCCCAAAAAAGTTTTATATTAAATAAGTCACAGAACAGTATTCACTGAAATTTAAAAAAAAAAAACAAACTATTTTCATGGAAAAAGACAAAAGCAAAAATGAGCAAGCCAAAATCTAAATAATATGTATGGTATTAACTTTAACAGAAACTCCAAAACAAAATCACACATGTAATAAATCTATATTTTATTATATTTTATAATTAAGACATTCAGGGAAATGCTGTATTTCAAATTTTAGCATTATCTAACAAATTTGATATATTCTAAGACTAAATGCTTCTTAAAAACAGATGAATACTATGAACATTCCATTTGCATTTGTGTTCATATCAAAATCTGGATCATGTTACACTTAGAGATGTCTACCAAAAATGTTTAAAAGATAAAGTTCTGAAGTCAAACATCAAGAGTTCTAGATCCTACTGCCACTAATTCTGTAGTCTTTGATCACACCATCTTATTTCTAAGGCTTAGTTTTCTCATCAAGACTATAATTAATAAAAATTTTAAGTCAAAAAAATCGAATCAAAAAAAGGGATCTTAAGGGAGAAAATGTTGGTCATCTCTTGATGACTTTAATTTCAGGTATATTTCTTAGTTCTTTATAGAAATAATAAAATTGTACTTCAGTCAACAACGAAAATAATAACTAAAAAACATTAGACTGACAATCAGAAGACCTATATTCAATTTTTGGCTCTTCAATGTGATTTCAGCAAAATTCTCTCTGAAGTACTCATTTTCCCACAAGGAGGGATAATAACAGCTCCTCTCAGAAAGCTTTCATAAAGATGAAGATTTAGGGACCACAGATGAAATGCAACTAGCATAACACCTAGCACATGACAGATGCTCAGTAAAGATTATTTTTTAAAAAAACAGATTTTGCTAGTTCACACCCTGCTTGCACATCTACTGGTTTCTTCCAGCACTATCACTTAACATTTAGTAAGGTTGGACTTTTCAACAGGTCAACATCTTTCATTCACTTTCTGCCACAACATAAAAGTACTGTTGAATAATGCAATTCAAATTATGGAAATTTACAGTGCAAATATGGCAATTTGTTCTGCATGATTTATTAGAAATATTACAAACTTTCATCTCAATACTAAAATAACTTTCAAATTAAGTTCTGATCTTAAAATAACAATAATTCATATATATTTTAGAGCAGCATTTCCCAAGTTTCCATTGTAAGCCTACATGGTGGCAGGTGTAGAATATTACAAGGAATAAAAAGTGACACAAAATCCAATGTGGCTTACACAACATGCAAACTAACAACTACCATCGTCTTAAGACAGAAAGCACAAAAGATGGATTCCCTAACCAAGATTTCAGGCGTCCAGGAAGGATTTCCCTAAGAAATAAATGGAATGAGATGACATCTTAAAGTAGTTTTGATTTGCATTTCTCTAATTTCTAGAGATGTTGAACATTTGTTCATATATTTGTTGATTGATTGTATATCATCTTCTAAGAAGTGTCTGTTCAGTTTGTTGGCCCATTTATTGATTGGGTTATTTGGGGTTTTTTTGGTGTTAAGATTTTTGACCCAGCTATCCTACTCCTCAGTGTATACTCAAAGGACTTAAAAACTGCATACTACAGGGACACAGCCACATCAATGTTTACAGCAGCACAATTCACAATAGCTAAACTGTGGAACTAACCTAGATGCCCTTCAGTAGATGAATGGATAAAGAAAGCACACAATGGAATATTATTCAGCAATAAAGCAGAATAAAATTATGGCATTTGCAGGTAAATGGGTAGAGTTAAAGAATATAATGCTAAGTGAAGTTCGCCAATCCCAAAAAACCAAATGCCGGATGTTTTCTCTTATATAAGGATGCTGATTTATAATAGGGTTGGGGCCAGGGAGCATGGGAGGATTAGACAAACTTTAGATAGGGCAAAGAGGTAGGAGAGGAAGGAGGGACATGGGGGTAGAAAAGGCAGTAGAATGAGTTAGACATCATCACCCTAAGTACATGTATGAAGACACGAATGGTGTGACTATAATTGATGTACAACCAGAAATATGAAAAATTATGTTCTATATTTGTAATCTGAAATGTAATGCATTTTGTTGTCATATAAAACAAATTAGAATAAATGAGTAAATAAATAAACAAAATGGGAAGTCTAAAAAAAGAAATGTATGGAATGAGGGCTGGAGTTGTGGCTCAGTGGTAGAGCACTTACCTGGAAAGTGTGAGGCCCTGGGTTCGATACTCAGCACCACATGATAAATAAATTAAAAGAAAGATCCATTAAAAAAAAAAAAAGAAAGAAAGAAATGAATAGAATGAGTAGAAATGAAAAAAAAAAAAAAATCCATTAAAAAAAAAAAGAAAGAAAGAAATGAATAGAATGAGTAGAAATGAACCAAGGAAGAAGCTCAAGGAATCACATGTTGAAAGCCCCAGAGTTAAGATTTCTATTCCTTCTTGCCAGAAAATAG